GCTAGCAAACATGAATAACATTCAATTAACATTTGGGTTCCAATTCATATCTAATAATCCATATATGGCGATAAAAGATCATTTTACCCCTCTCCTAGTTTGGTCCAAGACTAAGGCCCAAACTCCCAATCAAAAGGCCCAAAAACCAAATAATCACCCAAAGCCCACTTATAGCCTAATTTTCCAAATTGGGCCCAAACCCTTACATGGGCCTTACACTAAAGCCCATTAACTTTTCCCTAATCCAAAACACTTGTTCTCAGATGGCCCAACAATTCCCCAAGCAACCAAGCCCAAAACATAGCCCAACCTGAAATGACACCACAAGGCCCAAATATCCAAATTAGGCTCAAACCCATCATGGGCCTAACCCGAGAAATCCTAATATCCTACAAGGATGAAAATAACCCATGGTCAATCTTGGTCAAACTGTTGGTGAATGATCCATGGACAACAAGTCAACAAAACAAGAAAAGTCCAACAAACCGTGTACGCCCCGCGTACTCAGTTAGTACGCCTAACGTACACCTTTTTGAGTCAGTTGTAGGGTTCTGAACATTCTAACACTCCTATGGTGTACACACAACCCTAGAAACCCTTGATCTATGTTTTACTAAGATACATGCAAATTTGCTTTTCCAAGGTTCTTAACCTAACTAGCATGGCATGGGAAACTTTGAAACATAATAAGCTAGTAGAGTTACATACCTTTTAGTGGTGGTTGATTCCTTGGAGTTTGAGATCCTAGCACCAATAATATGGATGCCTCAAATGGAAGTCACAAATCACTACAAACCTTGGAAACTTGAGAGAATAGTAGAACACTTCTAGAAATCGCCACCCTTAGTTCTCACATAAAAACTAGTGCCATTTCAAGTGCTAGGGACTCCTTTATATAGTGTGGTGGATTAGGGTTACATCCATGTAAACCCTAATACCCATGACTTTTCATTTCCATGAGATCCACGGGTTAAAGCTCCATGGACTATCCATGGATTTACCATGCAAGCCTATCCCATTCTAAATAAGCACTTAGCCCACACTATATAAATACAAGAGTCCATATTTAATTAGTCACACTTCTGATCACTAAATTAATTCTAAATTAATTTTAGATCAATACTAGTTAAATAATATGATTTCATATTAATATATTAGAATTTATAATATATTAATAAATCATATGGTCTACATGCAACCCACACTAGGATCTGATAACACTGTAGGGTTTTGAGCATTCTAACACTCTTATGGTCTACATGCAACCCTAGAAACCTTGGATTTATGTTTTACTAAGATACATGCAAATTTGCTTTTCCAAGGTTCTTAACCTAACTAGCATGGCATGGGGAACTTTGAAACATAATAAGCTAGTAGAGTTACATACCTTTTAGTAGTGGTTGATTCCTTGGAGTTTGAGAGCCTAGCACCAATAATGTAGATGCCTCAAATGGAAGTAAAAAATCACCACAAACTTTGGAAACTTGAGAGAATAGTAGAACACTTCTAGAAATCACCACCCTTAGTTCTCACACAAAAACTAGTGTCATTTCAAGTGCCAAAGACTCTTTTATATAGTGTGGTGGATTAGGGTTACATCCATGTAAACCCTAATACCCATGACCTTTCATTTCCATGAGATCCATGGGCTAAAGCTCCATGGACTGACCATGCAAGCCTAGCCCATTCTAAATAAGCACTTAGCCCACACTATATAAATACAAGAGTCCATATTTTTTTAGTCACACTTCTGATTACTAAATTAATTCTAAATTAATTTTAGATCAATACTAGTTAAATAATATGATTTCATATTAAAATATTAGAATTTATAATATATTAATAAATCATAACTTATACTATTCTCAAAAGATTATCCATATAAATTGTTCGGGTGAAGTGCAACGCAAATGGACCATGTCGGGTCGGGTCAACTACATCTCAAATATAGTTATGGACTTAGACACCTTATCCAACAGTCTCCTACTTGGATAAGTCTAATAACTATAGTTGCAAGCATGACTTCAGGAACCAACCGATAATCGTAACTCTTAAAACTCTATTGAACTATGAAGTGTCATTTTAGATAAGGGATCATATAATCCTCTGTTCTAGATATCAGTCGGACAAATACATGGAACAATGTCTTATTGTCCAATAGTTTGTTTTTCCGATTTCCGATTTGTTTGACATAGAACTTAATTGAACACATCAATTTAGTTATGATCGGGCCCGGTACATGGGTCAACACAAAATCATCAAGGGGCCCAGATATCGCTTCTAATCCAAGAAGGAACAGATAAACTTCAACTCATATGCTTGTTCTACTACTTGTTGAATCACACACAAAGGCACATTTTATAACATCGAGTTACCAATGCATTTTCGTACAATCAATGTATAACCAACTCATAGTTAACAACTCATATATCTATCTTTGAAGACTTATATGATATTACCGTCTCACGATCACTCGAGATAAATTCCATGAAGTGATACAAGTGAGCGTGGGTTGAAACCAATAATCAGAACTTATGAGCACTCATGAGTGTTGTAGCAACTCTTTGTTATGTCTAACACTTAGACATCTACAAGCCAACTCATGATAGTCTTGATTCATATCTACTTCCAAAATATGACTGACTGTGGAGAATTTGAATAATATGAAATACCATAACATAATTATTCTGAAAGTCAAAACATGCAAAATGAAATGATACTAAACGATTGAAAAAAGATAGCAACACTTTACTCATAAATAAACAACAACTTTTATTCATCATCAAATTTCAATTACACTTTACACATTTCAAAGCTATCTAATTACTAAAACTAAGATCATCATTTAGCCCTATGCGCCTTGCATGCTTGAGATGCTTAACCCTACTATGTCCCTTTGTGAGGGGATCCGCTGGGTTCTCATCCGATGATACCCTCTTTGCCACGAGGAGTCCTTCTTCTATTCGATGTCTGATGAAGTGATATTTTATGTCAATGTGTGTAGATCTACCATGATCTCTTGGTTCCTTGGCTAAGGCAACCACACTATTTCTGTCATAAAAAATCTCCACAGGCTCTTTTAAAGTTGGTACAACTCCAAGTTCTCCGATGAAGTTCTTCAGCCATATCCAAGGTGCTTAAATATGGTGCAAAACTCCATAATTAGGGTTTCATTTTACCCAACCAACTCGTGGATTTGAGGTCACCCAAATCATCAAGTTGGGTGCTTGAGATCCGCGATCCATAAAATCTCTACTCGACGAGTCTGGGGCTTCCGACTCATCGAGTTTCTCTATAAAAATGAACAAATTATAAGTTTAAATATATAACAGAAACTAGATGTTACAACACTCCTTGTTTCCAAGGAGAAAAACCACAATAAACGGGGCTTTTACCCATTTTCAAAATCTCAAAAACCACTTCAAAAGGTCAAAACCTAATGAAACTCAGGATAAAACCGAGATACAAATAAGTTTTATAGGTAAAATTGTTTAAAAACCTTATTCCGTCAATTTGTTTATTAAAATCACAATAGAGATCACCAATCTTGAATTTTGAACTCCTCCACAAAAGAAAATTCTAGAATTGCCCCTTAGTCTTGTGATAAACAACAACCCAGTAATTGCCACTAAATTCAATCCAAACAACATAGAACTCAAAGATCCAGATCATACTTTTATCTTTCAAGAACCAAAAACATATACATATAGCATCATAGAAGAAATTTGACCAAAAAGCAAGCCCCTACATCTCAACCCGAGGAGAATGATAAAAAAGAACATCAATCTTGATAAAATTATGATAAAAAGCAACAGAGTTGAGTCCGAATTTGTCCCAGAAATATCAAGGTCTTCCAAAAATAACAAACTGACTAAAAGTCCCTGAGCTTTTGTCCACCAACTTCAAATGTAAGGTAACCCAAAATTGATCAGATAGAATAGAATCGGAAGTCTTCTGTGACTAATTGACATCAACAGAACTCCATGTATTCTCTAGAAAAAAGTTACAATCTGTAGTATAACGAAAATACACTTTAATCAGAGAGAAACAAATATTGGTAATCCTCCACCACTTTAAATCAAAAACTCTCACTTCAAAATATTTACATTGCATCCAGTAATTTCCAATTATCCCTTGAACCTTAAAAATTAAAGTACGCATATAATTAGCAATCATGACTTCATAGAGGATAGATACCAAAACAAATTTGTTTATGAAAACAAAAAAGGGGTAAATTACACCATTCGTTCTTCGTGCATATGCCATAAAACATATTTAGTCCCTATTTTCAAAAATTAACTCGGATCATCCCTCGTTTGTTTAAAACTTGCACATTTCATCCATCTAGACATAAAAAAACTATTTGGCCCTTATTTATTTATTAATTATTATTTACTAATCCAATTAAAATATTATTTATTAAATATGTGGGCCATTTGTATTTAGCCATTAGAAAATTACTTCAGACTACCATCACCACTAACCTCCGGTCACCACCACCACTAGCAATCCATGTTCTAATAAGAAAAATGCTAACCCAAAAATCCATTCAAGACATCAAAACTATTTAAAAAATCAAATCCATAAATCCATTCACGAAAAAATCCATTCAAGACATCAAAACTATTTAAAAAATCAAATCCAGAAATCCATTCACGAGATCAAATTCATAAATCAATACTTACAGAAACTAACAAACATACATACAATGACAAAAAAACTACAAATTTGGTTTATTTCTTCGTACGAGTATGAAGAAGAAACCCTTGTATGAAAAAAAAAAACTCCTGATGCAAATGCGAATTCTTATGATTTGAAGCCTAATCAATCAGATATTGGTTCGATTTCTTTTGAACAATAAGATATGAGGTGAATCGTGGGGAGAAAACGAAGGAGAAGGAGATGGGGGTTTGGTCAGAAACAACCAAGGCAACAAAGAGATCTAGGGTTTGGTCGCCGTAAGTCGGGTCCCAGAAATTGTTGTTGTTCGTGGTCGCCAGATGATTTGGTGGATTGATCAAGGGCAGTTAGCAGTGGTCGCGGGGACTGCTTTAGTCGACGTTGGAGTTGTAAAGAGGGTTGCTCTTATTCTTTTTTCCGATGAGATAGTTGTAGATCCGAAAGTTGATTTCAAGAAATTTGGTAGTTGAGTCCACATTTTCGACATGAATCGAGGAAGGGAAGTGAGGTGGTAGTCAGTGGCGGTGGTCAAGGAGGTTCTGGTGGTGGTTGTATCTCTGGTCTCCGTATTTTGATTTTAAAGGGAAGTGAGGGACAATGAAGAGTGTGAATAGAGAATTAGGGTATTTATAGGTAAATGGGGGTGGGGTGATAGATTTAATTATTTATAAATTATTAATCAATGTAAAAACATATAGGATTAAAATTTAATTTTTTGTTTTTTTTATAAAAACAGTAAGGATTATATAGTCATTTTATGCTAAGAAAAAGGATGAATTGTGAAAATTTAAACTAACGAGGGGTGAAACATGCAAGTTTAAATCATGGTCATATGTACAGGGGACAATCGGTGTAATTTACCAAAAAAAACACACACACACACAGCCGTACACACGTTACTTATTTTTTCCAATCCCTACCCTCGCCACCCTCTCCTCCTCCCCTTTACAGCAACACCCACCTCCGTCTCTCCTCCGCCTGCTTCCCGTAGGACGTCACAGATAGTGACGGATGCAATCGTTGTCAGAAACTTACCATAGCTGCACAACGCTGCCAAAGCATTGATGATTGACGCTAACGCTTGACGGACTATGCTCACTCACCGGCTGACCGACACCATCTGCCGCCGCACACACGGGCCACCATCGTCTGGCGTCGCACACCACCGTCTTTGTAAGTTTATTCCCCTGATTTCGTTAGATTTCGTGTTTAATTTTCAGAAATGGGTTAGATTTGTGATTTTTGCTTTGTAAATTGATTTTGTTTTGATTGACAAAACTATGGGATGAACTTCATTTCACAATATTTAACTATCATCGTACAATGAGTGAGATGGAAAACGGGCAACAAGATGGGCAGCTAAGGCTTTTTGAATGGTAAAATTAATTCTTTTAAAAACTATATCCGAAAATCTAGGGGATATAACATTACTATGCATGATTCGTTGTACTCTTTTAAGAAGCTCTACCACATCCGGTGCGAGGAAACCAAACATATCAAATGCAAATGGTATGAACACGTGTTGATTTTCCATGCACGATTTCTCATGTTTGGTGACTTTGCATGTAGTTGCTTTTAAAGCAGCATGTCCCGCCGTGAAACCCCTAACCCTCAAGCCCACGAGAGGGGATACCCCTGTAAGATCCATACATGCATGTTTCCATAGACTTACATAAAATAAAATTTTCAATGTCATCTCAAGCCATTCCCATAAAGTATTACATGTAGGGGTATGATGTGAGTGTACCTATGGAAAAAACCATAAGCAATAAGCAACTCCCCACACCCCTTTTTGTGCCTTCGGGGTTTACAAGAAGAAAGGGAAGCACTCTTCCTAATTTATATAAAAACATCTGAACTTTAATAAAAAATTAATCTAATTTAGTTTATATAAAAAAGACATATGGTTCATATAAATCATTTTAAGTGATTTTATTTGATACTTTTACCAGAATGATATTATTTAAAAAAAATAATTATTTTTCAGTTAATTACAAGAACTGTAAATATTTATCAAGAATCAAAATCTTTATATATATATATATATATATATATATATATATATATATATATATATATATATATATATAGGTTCAGGTAATTTAAAACCATTCTAATTTTATGAGACCGTGAGACCAAATCTAAAAATAATTTTAAAATGGAAAAATCCAAAAATTCTTTTTTTAACTATTATTTTCGGAACTTGAATTAATTAAAATAAATAAATAAAAAAAATAAATAAAAATCCCATTTTTTTTAAAACACGTGAAATATTCTAATAGAATATTACATTGATATATTCTAAAAAATAATTTTAAAATGCAAAATAAATGGAAAAATCTAAAAGTTCTTTTTTTAAATATTATTTTCGGAACTTGAATTAACTAAAAAAATCCCGTTTTTTTTTTGTTTGTTTTTTTTTTTTTTTAAATTCGTGAAATATTCTAATAGAATATTACACTGTACATATTTTAAAAAATAATTTTAAAATGCAAAATAAATGTAAAAATCCAAAAATTCTTTTTTTAAATATTATTTTCGGAACTTAAATTAATTAAAAAAAATAAAATAAAAAATAAAAAAATAAAAAAATACGTCTCACGTTCTTACAAAATTAGACCGTCATGAACATAGTTATACGAAAAACAAAAATCTCCTAAAAATTAATATATAACAAGAAGCTTTGAACATTATTTATTAACAAAATGCATGTAAATTAAGTTTAATAGTTTATGGCACACCGTACAAAGAATGGGTTATTAGTAAATGACCCGATCCGATGAAATATGGTATGCACGGCACTGCAAGTCTGCAAATCGCACGTTGCCCGCCATAAATGTTGCTGAGACCAACACATGGCCCCACATGAATTGTCTCTCCATTCTACGCATTTGAATCACCTTTTACCAAATATATACATATTTTTTTATTGTAGGAATGTTTTTATAATTGTTATCTTTTTATATGAAACCAAATAAAACTAGGAAATGTCCAGCATTTTTATTTGTAATAGTAAAAAGTCACAATGACTGTCATTGGTGTGTTCAAATAAATTTCTTTCACCACTTAATTAATTGTTGTTTAAACCTCAAAAAACTTTTGTTTGTGGTTTTGGATACAAAAACACAACGTTAAATTTTTTTGTTATGCAAACCTGTAACAAAATAAGAACTAAACAACGTTAAATTTTTTTGTTATGCAAATCTGTAACAAAATAAGAACTATTAAATAGTTTCGATTCTTATAATTCACAAGATTACGAGATTCTAAATAAAATTGAAACTCACTTGAACATAGAGGTAAATAGAACATAAACGTGAAGATTCTACTTAAACCTTGATTGATTAGTTTTAAACTAAATAATTTTTTTGATAAGCTTGAAATTGTTAATGCCAAACAATTTTTTATAATAAATATCATATGATATAATAAAAACATGACAATGAGTCAATAATTTGTATGTCATTATTTTGGAGATAATTAAAAGATTTGATAAAAAGTATAATAATAATTAAACTAAAGTTTTAAATATCTATAATGACTTTTAAGAAACATAAAACGATAATTTTTAAAACATTATAAAAACTTTTAAAACATTATAAAGACGAATGTGTGGGATATAAAGACGTGTAGTGACAATAGTCAATAATAATAATAATAATAATAATAATAATAATAAATTATGAAATATATAGTCCAAGCCCTGTATTGTAATTTTCATAAAATCAGTTTTAATAAAGGAAGTTGTGTTTATGGTTAAAACCGACAACATGTCAAACCTAATGGATCAAAACTGATAACTTTCGAAAGTTTTAATCTTTTTTCCAAAACTGGGAAAACTTATGTGGCAAATTTGTAAAGAAAAAAAACTATATTGTTCTCTAAACCTAGCAAAAAAAAATAGAAAATATATTATAAATAAATTAATCCACATAACAACGACAATGGTGGTAAAAACCCAAAAATTTTAAACTTCCGCCACAAGAATAAAAGAAAAAAATATTGTGAAAAAAACTAAAAGTAAGAAAAGTTCACTAGTCTCTAAACCATTTGGGAATATATATATATATATATATATATATATATATATATATATATATATATATATATATATATATATAATTGATGTTTTATTTTGGTGAACCTTTGTGGCAAGACCTATTGTTGATAGTTAGTGGTTTATTTTGGGTGGGTTTTTATGGCAAAAACCATTGTTGATAGCTAATCATTTGAAATGGTAGACTTTGTGGTCGTAATACGAGTGTATGTTGACTAGGTTACTCACTAAGCTTGTTAAACTTGATCTTTATTTATTGTTGTGCCTTTCAGTAAGGTAAACCTCGTAAGGATATAACACTCGTAGCTAGAAAATAGAAAAAATGTTAGATGGATAGAACGTCCATCTCAAATATTTGTTTGGTTTTGCTATTTATAATCCATTTGATAAATACTTGTATACTACTAGTTACTCAAATGTACATCAAGCTGTTTTGTAAAATAAGAACGAAAATTTTCGAGTGAACTTTGTTTTGATTTTTTGGGTGTTACAGATTAGGCTCATTGCATTGAAACAAGACGGTCTACTTATGGATACTCTATCTTTATCGGATATAAACCTAGTCTCTTGGAGTGCAAAGACTTCACCTATGATATTTAGCTGTATATCTGAGTACCATGTTCTTGTCAATACAACCGTAAAAAATGTATGGGTAAGTCATCTCCATCGTGAACTTCATGTCTTACCACCTACTTGCCAAACTATTTCATATGAAAATCAGTGATATGTTCTAAAATTATATCTCTTGTAAGCATGTAAAGCATATTTGACCATGGTTGTTTGCTTGATGTCACATGAACGATGCCAAATGATGTTACCTTCAATATGTTTGTGAGATTAAAGGGCTACTTGGCATGGATCTTTGACGAGTACATGGTAACAACACAACAAACAATCCACAAAATCTTGGGGAGAGTCCCTATGGATTTGGTTCAACAATCAAGTCAATAAGTATTCAACACAAAATGTAAGAGTACTAAAGAAATCTTGAGCAAGGAATAACATACTGTGATAGGGGGGATGTTTGTTCCGGCATTTTTATAGGTGGAGTGGTCATGCCCAAATAGAGATAGATATAAGGCTGTAGATTCCATAAGGAGAAACGATTCTATCAAGATATAAGATTGGTCTCATTGTTAGACATGTTGGTGTTATCGGATGTACCATCATAATGATTGCTATAAATCCCTTTTATGTTTGCCCCATCATATTCACGTTTTTCTTGGATATGAGCCGATCTGAAAGTGGACAATTGGGACTATTCATACTAATGCTGCCTTAGAAGTTGGTTTCGACACTTCATGCCTAATTATACGACATTTAGTACATTATACAATCCAAACTAATCACGTTATTGGAGTAGAATGTAATTACAAATAAATGTAATGAACAAATTAATATAGTACAAAAATGAATAGCAATATAGCATCTACAATTATATTATGTCATAAAACATCATTCAATATCCGCATTAATAATCAACGCAAACTATACGTTTTCTTTTTCTTGTCCTTATCTTTAATAGAGATCATCGATATTCATAGCTTTCGAAGACAACCAAAAATTTTATGTGAAAATTATGTGCGATTCTTTTATATACATGTATCATCTTATGATGGACTAATTTGATTTATAACTTTAACACTACACATCCGTCTGAAACATATGATAAAACTGAAAGTAATTTAAATGAAACGAGTTAGATGTCATGTGACTAAAAAAATAGTCAAACTTTGATTCACCACCGTCTTCCTGTATGGTCCTCTGTACCCAAGCCAGATCCAATAGCCACGTCACCACGAAGACCTCGTTTTGCGCGCCATATAAGCAGAAGAAAATACTACATGAAAAACACTTAAAAAAGATACTAATGGCTCCCTCTTCTCTTCTGAAATTAAACCTTATTTTATTCCACATCTTAAGGTTTTAACACCTTTCTCAGGTATTTTACACACAATCTTGTTTTCTCTCTCTCTCCACTTCTTCTCTTTTGGCTTCAAGCTAATTTAAAAAGAGCCTGTCAGATTTTGATACTACTCGCTACCTCACTCTATCTTCAACACAACCAACCCAACAAATTGGTAACCCGAACCCCTCTTTCTAGTGGAGTTCATAGCTCAAAATCAGGTAGTTTCTTTTTTCGATTTCAGCTCAGAATTCATGTCATTATTGTTGTTTGTTTTTCTTTGTGAGGAGACTGAGATCTGGGGTTTTGTGGGTTCATAGTAATTTGTTTGAATCTACAGCATTGGTTTGTTTAAACCGTATGTAACTATAAGATTCTTGTTGTTCACTTTCTTGTTTTTATACAGATTACTAAGAAAAAGACTTGCTTTTTTTCATTATGACTCAATTGAGATCTGATTGCTCTTGGCCTTTGTTGAAATTCTTGAATTGGGTACCCTTTTCCTCTTTATTTTATCTTTTTTACAGGTATTAAAACTCGCATTATTGTTGATTTAAAACTGAAACCGATGCTTTTTCTGTTCATCATGTATAGTCAGTTGTAATGTGGTTTTTTTTTTTTTTTTTTTTTTTGTGGGGTTTACATGAATTTACTTAAATCTCAGGCATCATTTCATGAGGATTCTCAAAGTTTTTCCTGTTCATTTTGGATTTGATATGCAAGTTATAGTGTCATTTAGAATGATCGTAGTTTTGTATTATTGGGTAATATCAGAATTCCTTTAATTTTGTTCAAATCTGACGAATCTTCTTGTCAAATCATATATTATCCAAGAATCTTGAAATTATTTGCTTTTGATTCTTGGTTTTTAATTTACAAATGATCAAAATCTCCTTCTTCTACAAGATCTTAAACTTTTTGTCAGATTTCTATAAATATATTTGAATCTGAAAAATTCCCAATCTTTTCTCGAGAATTTTGAATGCCTTTCTGCTTTTGTTTTTTAATGTTAATATCCAGATCCTCAAAACCCTTTTTGATCTTCACCTACAAGTATAGAGATCCGTACTTATGACGTCTAGGTCAAAGATTCTTCGTTTTTTTGTGGGTTTTACATAAATTCCTTTTAATACGTTCAAATTCAAAGAATCACTCAGTATTATCCAAGAATCTCGAAACTTTGTTGCAAATGATTAAAGTGAATGTCCTTTTTTTTTTGTATGGATTATGAATAACTTTTGTTAGGTTTTACTTTCTGTAGCTTTGTCTTAATAAGCAGATCATCTCACTATTCTTTTTCTTCTCTTTATCTTTTGATTCATGCGGTGAATAGTCATATAGTGTCATGTGCCTTTACCTTCATTTTAGGGTCCCTTTACTTTAACTTTCAGCCATTACAGTTCCCACTTCTTAGATCTTAAAATATAATATAATATATTATATTATATTACATTTTTACATATATTATATTGTTTATCAGTTTAAAGCTCATGGATCTGTCCTTAAAGTTCGATTAGCATAGTACATCGTATAAAAAAAGTAACAACTCTTTTCTTATAAAGAAATCTCGATCTTACACGAAAAGAAACAATATTTTTGTTGTTTTCGGTTCTTGAATTTGAATTGTTTTCATGTTTATCAGGTTAATTTGATTCACCATTCTTGAATTTCCGGCAAGAATATGAATCTTAAGCTCGGTGTAGACGTGGCAGGGGCCCACAACCTTCTTCCAAAAGATGGTCAAGGTTCATCAAGTGCTTTCGTTGAGCTCTATTTCGATGGTCAAAAATACAGAACAACAGTCAAAGAGAAAGACCTCGACCCGGTTTGGAATGAAAGCTTCTACTTCAATATTTCCGACCCATCAATCCTCTCAAATCTCACACTCGATGCCTTCGTCTACAACAATGTCAAAGATACCCATTCAAGATCCTTCTTAGGTAAAGTCTCCATAACTGGAACTTCGTTTGTTCCATATTCAGACGCTGTCGTCTTACATTACCCTTTAGAGAAACGTGGAATCTTTTCTCGTGTAAGAGGAGAACTCGGGCTTAAAGTTTATATTACCGATGACCCATCAATCAAGACTTCCGACCCGGTTGTTAACATGGCCCAAAACACTAAATCAGTTCATGAACCCGTGAAAAATAGTGAGAAGCGGCATACTTTTCATCATCTTCCTCATGAGACTCAAGCTCCGGCCAACACTGGTGTCCCACCGGCCCCACCACCGGCAATGAGATACGGGTATGAACAAATAAAACCCAACCCGCCACCTCAGCCTCCAAAACTTGTTCGTATGTACTCAGAATCTTCTTCTCAACCCGTGGATTATGCCCTAAAAGAAACCAGCCCGTATCTGGGTGGCGGACGGGTCGTTGGCGGGCGGGTTATTCGAACCGATAAAGCTTCGTCTACTTACGATCTTGTTGAAAAGATGCATTTCTTGTTTGTAAGGGTCGTGAAGGCCCGTGATCTTCCTTCCATGGATATAACCGGAAGTCTCGACCCATATGTCGAGGTTAAAATCGGAAACTATAAAGGTGTCACACGTCACATTGAAAAAAACCAAAACCCGATGTGGAACATTGTTTTCGCGTTTTCTAGAGAGAGAATGCAAGCTTCGGTTCTTGAAGTTGTGGTCAAAGATAAAGATTTGGTCAAAGACGATTTTGTCGGGTTCGTGAGGTTTGATTTAAACGAAGTCCCGTTGCGGGTCCCACCCGATAGCCCGTTGGCCCCACAATGGTACCGGCTCGAGGACAAAAAGGGGGACCGGATAAAAAGCGAGCTCATGTTAGCGGTTTGGATCGGGACCCAAGCCGATGAAGCGTTTCCAGACGCGTGGCACTCGGATGCGGCTACACCGGTTGACAGTTCCGGTGCAGCCTCGACCTTGATCCGGTCAAAGGTCTACCAAGCACCACGACTATGGTATGTCCGGGTCAATGTGGTTGAAGCCCAAGACCTGGTTCCAACCGATAAGTCCCGGTTCCCGGATACTTATGTAAAAGCCCATATTGGAAACCAGGTCATGAAGACAAAAACGGTCCAAGCCCGTTCGCTTAACCCATTATGGAATGAAGATTTACTTTTTGTTGCAGCCGAGCCTTTTGAGGACCATTTGATTTTAACCGTGGAGGACCGGGTCGGGCCCGGAAAAGACGAGATTCTCGGGCGGGTCATCATCCCGTTGGCCATGGTTGAAAAACGGGCCGATGACCGGATTATCCATTCGCGATGGTTTAACCTCGAAAAGCCCGTTGCGGTTGATGTTGACCAGTTGAAAAAAGATAAATTTTCCATGAGGATTCATCTTAGGATTTGTTTAGATGGAGGTTACCATGTACTCGACGAGTCGACTCACTATAGTAGTGACCTTCGACCCACCGCAAAGCAACTTTGGAAGCCCACAATCGGGGTTTTGGAACTCGGGATTTTGAACGCGGTCGGGCTCCACCCGATGAAAACCCGTGATGGGCGTGGGACATCCGATACTTACTGTGTAGCAAAATACGGGCATAAATGGGTAAGGACCCGAACCATAGTCGACAATTTATGCCCGAAATACAACGAACAATACACATGGGAAGTTTTCGATACTGCAACCGTTTTAACAGTCGGTGTATTCGACAACAGTCAGTTAGGGGACAAAGGGTCAAACAGTAAAGATTTGAGAATTGGGAAAGTCCGGATCCGGATCTCGACTCTCGAAGCGGGTCGGGTTTACACTCATTCGTATCCATTACTCGTTTTAAACCCGAATGGGGTGAAAAAAATGGGGGAAGTCCATTTAGCGATTCGGTTTTCTTGCACGAATTTTGTTAACATGTTGTATACGTATACGCGCCCATTGTTGCCCAAAATGCATTATGTACGACCTTTCAGTGTGATGCAACTTGACATGTTGCGTCACCAGGCCGTACTGATAGTGGCGGCTCGGCTGGGTCGAGCCGAGCCGCCACTCAGGAAGGAGGTGGTGGAGTACATGTCAGATGTAGACTCCCATCTCTGGAGTATGCGGCGGAGCAAAGCGAATTTTTTCCGGTTGATGACGATTTTCGCGCCACTTTTTGCGGTTTCGAAGTGGTTCGGGGATATTTGTATGTGGAGGAATCCGATCACTACTGTTCTTGTTCATGTCCTGTTCATCATGCTGGTTTGCTTCCCGGAGCTGATTTTACCCACGGTGTTTCTTTACATGTTTCTGATCGGAATCTGGAACTTCAGGTATCGACCTAGGTATCCGCCACATATGAATACAAAGATTTCACAGGCAGAAGGGGTCCACCCTGATGAGCTGGATGAGGAGTTTGATACTTTTCCGACTAGCCGGAATCCTGATTTGGTGAGGATGAGGTATGATCGATTAAGAAGTGTGGCCGGAAGGATACAGACGGTGATCGGGGACATTGCGACACAAGGTGAAAGGATGCAGTCGCTTTTGAGCTGGAGGGACCCACGGGCTACTGCAATTTTTGTGACTTTTTGTTTGGTGGCGGCGGTTGTGTTGTATGTGACGCCGTTTCAGGCGATTGCAGCTTTGATTGGGGTGTATATGATGAGGCATCCTAGGTTTCGTCATCGTTTGCCATCTGTGCCTGTTAATTTCTTCCGAAGGTTGCCAGCTAGGACGGATAGTATGCTGTAAGGATGTTGAGTAGCTCAGTTGGTTGCTAAGCCAAGTGATTGACAAATAAGGTGTGTTGTAACTTGTGTTGTTTAGGTTGTACTCTGGAAACTTTGGACTCATTTTGATTGTTTAATAAATCCTTGTATGTTGCTAGAATCATTGTTTTTAATTATTCAAACTTTCTAACTTACAATATCAATATCAATAATATCCATTCGTTAAGTTGATTATTGTCTCAAAGATTAAAGAAAGGATAATGCATTATGCGCTTAGCTGATTCCCATAAAGCTTCTTCGACTATACCCCGTTTGATTAATCTTTTAACTAAAATGCGATTGTGTTTAGAAGGACACGAAGTAGGTAGCCCACCGTAGGCAAAGGTCTAATAACCAATCGATCGGATTGAATTACCAATTACAATTACATAACAAAAATAGACTTTCGAATACGATTCTTTATTAATCAAATTCAACCGTTAAAACTCAAACCCCGCTTAGCATATTTATAATCAAACTAAAACCCTAACAGACTCTTAATTATGATTAAAATCATATAAACAGGAGATAATATAAATTTTTTCTAATAAAGATATCTTAAAATAAGATATCCATAATCAAATTAGATCTTTGATGTTGGAACTTTGTTAAATGAAAACTTTTTCTATGGGACTTGCATTCGAAAAAAGAGAAAACTTATATTCTTTTAAAAAGTTCTCCTACTAGTTGTTTACTAATTAGATGAAAAGCTTGGACTAAAGGGATTAGGTTGTATTTGGTGATTGGATTAGTCAAATTGATCTTGATAGACTTAAATTAATATATATATATATATATATATATATATATATATATATATATATATATATATATATATATATATATATATATATATATATATAATGATCAAAAGATTGGCCTTGGAAAAAACAGTCAATCTATATCTATAAACAAATCTGTTAAATTCGTTTTTAACTGTCTTGACAATTACAATTATTTTCGGTTGGCAGTTTTTGGAGGGAAAAACAGTTAATGTATAATATCGTATTCCACAAACAATGAAGGGAACATAGTCAATTCGTCAGAATCAAGAGAAGATCTTGATTGATTGTTGTATCCTCTAGTTAGATCTCTATCAGGGAAATTTTTGTTTTAGGACACTGCAAAGCAGGCCTCAATCTCTACAATTTCGTAACTGTATTTTCTGTGTAATCATCATACCAGTATGTTTTTTGTAAATTGATTATTGTATATAATATATATTTGAATTTTCAATTAGTTTTGTTGATTATATACTTATGTAATAACATTTGATTCGTCTTTCAACATCATCTGCCTCTTTTAAAAAGGACTCATCCTTGAATTTTCATCTCTTCATCTCTCACCCACAATATCCAAAGGACAAACAACTTTTAACACTAAAACGAATAAATATCAACCAAACAGGATAACATGCACGATTATAGATTCTGCCGGATTTTTGAGATATATTTGATTTTCACCAATCACTTCTTCTTTATTAACCTCACCTTCATCATCGGTGTCATAGATGGGTTATGTATCACACACAAAGTTTGTGTTACAAAATGGAATGCTCTTATTTTCATCCTCCCCGTCCCAAAAGATTGGTTAAATTCCGATAAACTCGAGAAAGATACTTCTAATATTGCAAATTTGGGATTCTCGACCTTTAAATCAATGTTCCTCAATGGATCATCGCAACGATCTCGTCTTGGTTTAGAAAATTGATTGACCTCCTTGTAATCGTTTCCCAAACGCACAGTTCCTATTAAGTCTTTTCTCCTAGCGAGTCTTGATGTAAAAAGTTGAGTTCTTTGATCTGTTGTTGCAGATGTTCAATCTATAATCACGTAGATTGGTTGCATCATTCATAGCACCATGCCAACAAACTTGTCCAGTGAACACAAAGAACATAAAATACGATTTCGAATATCGCTCTTTATTAATCAAAATCAAATGTTAAAACTCAACAACGATATTAGCGACTCCTTGATATT